CTGTGCACTGTGTACTACCACGAACAACGCGGCGAACACGCACGTGTTCTCCCCGAGAAACTAGATCGAAACTACTCGGCCTTTCGACTAGAAAAGAAATTGGTAAATATGTTTCTAAGGCCGTACATCCTACTTCCTACGCTCATACTTTCAAACCTTACGTACGATGCAAAAGATATCTCTATACTTTTAATTTTATTCTTTCGTTTACTTATTGGCCTCGTTCTGACATCCGTTGCGGATATATCCGTCGTTACAAACTGACAGTTTGCAACTATGGAACTATCTTCACTGAACGTTCTTATATTATCGTTTTTTCTTCCAACTTTCCCCATCGTGTCAAAAGAAATTGCTGCAAGTAGAAAGAGCGTTCATCGATCAAAAAAAAAAAAATATCAAATCTTTCTCCTAGATCACGGTTTTAATTAACCCTGATAAATCGCACATTTGACAAAATAATGTTGCATAGAAGACAAAACACACAAGTTCAATTCGTTAAAAAGAGAAAGTCATAAGGATGGCCCATTTCCTTCACCAGACAAATTCAAAGATCCATGGAACTACCACAAACGCACAAACACAATGCAACGTACGTAATAATAATTTGCTTACTCGTTCTCGAGAAAAGGATGTTTCTTTTTTCTTTCTTTCTTTCTTTCTTTCTTTCTTACTTACCAGAGTAATCGTATCTCTGGGGTCCCATCCAGCGGAACTTTTCACTGTCCCGTATCACGTCGCCCAGGTAGCCGTAACTGAGCATGCTGGCGTACAGCCTGAGCAACCTGCAATCGCTGTGCACGGAGGAGATGTCGAGGCCGGTTCTGTCGCCAAAGATGATATGTATCGCCGCGGTTTGCACGTCGGTGGTACCGTGAAGGCTATACGCCACCGTGTCGGTGCTTCCGCTGGGTATCACTCCGATCGGAAGTCTCGGAGTCGGTAGATCCGCCTCCGGATTGTTCGGGTCGATTTGCCGATCCCTCGAGGTTCTCAGTACTAGGCCGTTGATCATTTCCGCGAGAGTACCGTCTCCACCGATGCACACTACCGCCTAGGAACAAGCAGGCAACGTTCGAGAAACAATCGGGAGAGTTGAAAGGTCAGATGAAAACAGAAAAGTGCCTTTTGCAAAAAATTTTGGTAGATTTCTAACTTACCGACCTTTCACAGTTTTTGGCTTTCGATGTTTCGTATTTTTTCAATAAAAAAATTCTAGATCTCGTACTTGTGGAAGATTGGAAGAAAATGCGGGATGAAGAAGGAGAGAGTAGCGAAACAGCGATTGGGGATAAGTCGGTAAAGTAGAAATCCATCCAAAAGTTTATCCAAACATGTCGCGGAAAATGAAAGAGAAGCAGATGTTTTTACGAAAAAAAAACGAAACTCACGTGAAAGTCGCTCAGATCGACGCTTAACAGGGTGTCACGAGCGTGACCAACTCTCTCGGTAACCAGCATCTTCGTATCGATGCCAGCGATGGTCATTAGAGGCTGCACGTCCTTCTCCCAAATCTTCAACCCCTTCTTCTTCCCTCCAAACGGATTGACGAACAACAAAATCTTTCTAGGACGATGGGCCAAGCCTGCGAATCAAAAATTTGGAATTCATAACACGTGTCGATCATCGATGTAAAACCAAAAAAAAAAAAGTGATGGTATCCTGAAAATTTTAAGATCAATTGATTTTTACCGACTGTCAATTACAATGTAATTATGATTCTTGAAAAAAATCGATTCTTCTTTCTAGAAAGGAGAATGTTTTGTCTGGAGATTTTGAAGATCAATTGAATTCAATTATTCGCGGTGGACGGATGATACCCTCTTTGAAGAAACGCGACGCGGGCAAACAGGGAACAGGATCAATACCATCTCTCTGTCGAGGAACACAGGATACACAGGAGAAAGATCACGTTACACGCGCGAGGGAGCATAATTCGTCCGGTGGCGTTTTGATTGATAGGAAGACTGATAAGTTTGTGTACATAGTATTTAGAATATTACATGATATCCACTCGATCAGTTATCGTTTAACCCTCGATACTTCATTCTATAATACCTGTATAAGTATTTCAAATAAATTTAATATTTGAAATAGTTTTTGGGGATTTTGTAAAGTATACAATACTTAAAATACAAATTTCTGAAAGGGGAGAAAGATTTGTTTGTTAGTTTTATCTATATATAATATACGAACAATATACTATGTATAATAATATGTATATCGGGAATTCTCGGTGAAATAACTTGTTTTTATTATATAGATTGTTTAATGTCAATTTTCAGCTTATTTTAGTTCACATGTTGTATCTTATTATCACATCATATATTATATTAACCGTTTTCCTTCTTCGTTTTCGTGTTTGAAAAATAAAGTAAGGTTATGAACAATGTGTAATTGAAGAGGTTATGTATAATGCGCAAGTTGTGTACAATGTGTAACTGAAGAGCCTCAAAAATTTCCTCATTATCCCTTAAACTGCATTTACTAACATTTTTACCAACAAAACTAATGACCTTTCCGGAATATAATAGTGTGTCAATATACTGTTTGAAGGTTATGGCTACATTTCTATAATGAGACATTGTGGTATGATTAAAAATAAAACAAGCCAGGCTATAGGATCAGATGACCTGGTATTTCAAGGGAAAGTTGACCCATCATGAAATTGTGTATAATAGCAAATATTTTTCTAGAGAATCATGCTATATAGAAGAAAATCTAAGTAGAGAATCATGGACAAATGGAGGGTTGTTGGCCTTTTCCAAAAGATGTCATTTCTTTTGTTTTGTAAATCTACCATTATCTTTCAATTTTCTCCTTGTAACATTATAAATTTATATATATCTGCTCCCACATTTTTTCATATATATATATATATATGAAAAATAAGAAAAAATA